TAAACTAATCACAAACAGATAAATAATACAATCAAAATCTCTTCCACAGTATGTACAATATGTAAACATACAATTTAAAATTTAAAACAAGATTCTTGTTTCACGCACATGTTGGAAGTTGGTAATTTTTAGATGAGATACTGGGGTTATTCAGGTGTAACAAAAAATCTGCATTGGTAACATGTGGATTAAGATTAGTCATGATAGTATTTAACAGAAATAATTAATAAATAACTTTAGATTTGTAAATGTTTATTTTCTCATGCAGTATTATTCATAATAATCATTAGAAACATTTACTCTTTCCTTCATAAGTAGAGTCATCAACAACTGCCTGGAAAGATCAGGAAAACGTCTTTATAGTGATATGCTTTATTAACCTCTGGAGGAATTTCCTTTTGACAGCTAGTTAAATAGGTTAGTATTATTTAAAATTAAAACATCTTATAGGTGCCACATTTGCAAACTGACCTGTTTAAGCAAGAGTCATTTACTGCAAATACTTTCTACTCAGTATTATACAGAACATAAACTCAATCATACATCTACTGGTCTTGTGTTGAAGCATCCATACTCAGTAACTATTAGTTTTTTATTGCCATTTGCTGCATATCTGAATATAAAACAAATGCAGATTGTTTATTACATTTCATAATTATTCAAAAAGAAAAAGATGTTTCAGAGAAAGATTTTTTCAGAGGCTGACATCATGCAAATACTATTACAGTTGCAAGAAAGAATTTACACTTTAAATACAGTTCATTGTAGCTTTCACAAGTTAAAGCATTACAGAGTACTTTACTTTTGAAAATTACAGCTGATTTGGTACATTTTGGCATAACCACTTTTAATAATAATTTTGTAAAGCAGAGTTCTTATCAGTTTGCACGTCACCTTCTGTTACTCCTTTATTAAAAGGAGTTTATCTAGAAGTTTAACCAGCTACAGGCATATACCAAATTTGTGTCAAACCGAATAAACATAACACAGATCATGTCTACATTGGGTCCATCTATCAATGACTTTTTATGGAACTTTCCAAGTTTTGCTAAGATGGTAGCTGTTTCAACATCTGATTCAGCAATTTTCTGAATTTAAATAGACATCCAGGTGCAGGTAATTTGTTTATATTTTCTTGAGATAACCACTTTGCAAAGACATGTCTAGATGGCTAAACAAGTTCAAAATGAAAGTCTATAAGTCTTTGTTCCAACATCTACCATGCGTCTTATTTAGACTTCCATTGGACTCCTAAACCTACTGCACATTTAGAGCAAATCAAGTCATTGCCCACTGTGCACAGACACATATATGCAGCATATTTTCTAGGTTGCATTCGCTCCTCTAATGTGATGAATGAAGTACCTTATTTCCCCTACATGTCTAATTTCGACCTTCACTGGACAATTAAATGTAGTGCTGATGACGTGCAAATGTGGTTGTTGTAAATGTCTCAAATATTTGAACTTTAAGCTGCTCCTTCATTCAGGGGTTACAGCAGGTCATTACAACCTACATACAGACCTAAAAGAGTTTTTCCACCAGACATACGTAACCAGAAAGCAAATCCAGGTGTCTTGTATTACAGGCAAAGGAGTAAACCAAAAGGAACTATATCAGCTTATTTGAATAACATATAACAACAACTAATAAATATACTAAAAATAATAACAGTAAAGTTGTTGGGAGCTGGAGAAGTACCACCTTCCTCCAGCAGAGTCGCCATGGATCCTCCTGAGCCGAGCCTCCTGCACAGCTGAAGCTCATCCCATCATCAGAGGATCCACAGTATATAAGCTGTCTTCAGACCTTGCCTCAACGCCACAGTGTTTAATCCAGTTGGTTAGCACCTACGCCTAGTATCTCTGAGAACCTTCGTTGACTTTTGAATCCAGACTGGATTCTAACCTTTGTCTCTGCTTTCAGGAAACCTGTTTTTCTCCTGTGAAGCTCTGGAAGAGCTTAACCTGCCGAGCCTGCCCTCTGAGCCAAACCTGAAGACTCCTCTCTGGATTTCCATGCAGCTCTGGACCAAGAGCTGGAAACTCAAAGCCAAGGTCTGCTCTCTCTCTAGAAGT